AAGATTGGTGAGCTCCACTTCATTTAGCTCTTTCTGCTGTCTTATCGTATTTTCTCTTCTTCATCAGGCTTATTTGGAACATATTCCTCTTCCTCCTCATTTTGTCAGGGTTTCTGTGTTTCTTCTTTTGTAGTGGATGGATCTGCTACACCTCCTGTCTAGAGAGTAATGGCTTCATTAAGGTATCCTGTGGTGCCAAGAAGCTAAAGACTCTTTATTTGTCAGTGCCTGGGTCTCCTTTGTGGTAGAACCCAGTTGTTTTTGGTGGCTATGGGCAGGGCCACGTTTCTGTCAGTCTGCCATTAGTGGCTGATCTCAGTCTGCTGTGGAGGGTGGCAACTCGCCTCAGCCAGCCCTTTGTAAGCCAAGTGGCAGTGCTGGGGTCATTGTGGGTGGAGCCACCTTTCTGCCTGTCTGACAGCAGTGGCTGATCTCAGTCTGCCACAGGTGACAGCTCACTTCAGCTGGCCCTTTGTGAGCCACGCAGGGTACTTCTGCTGGGACTGTTGTGGGTAGGGCTGCCCTCTGCCTCCCTGGCAGCAATGGCAGTGCTGCTGGGCAGACAGGGTGGGTAGGACATGTGTGCAGGAGAGTGAAGTGTGGAGCTGGGCCACCAGTTAAGAGGAAGGTACACTTGGAGATGGCTTTGCAGGTATCTCCACTGTTGGGCTGAGAAAGGGCTGAAAAAGCTGGGAAAGCCTCCCATTGCCTGCCAGGCTGCAATGTCTGACCACTGCTGGATGAAGTGATCCAGGTGGGTGGTTGGGCTGGCATTCAGGTAAGTGCCTCAGGACTGAGCTGCCAGCAAGGGGGATGGAGCATTTGATGCTCCCATGAGTGCTCAACCATTTGGGCTGAGGGGGTCTGAGAAGGCATCATACACCTGACCTTTCTCTTACAGAGAGAGCTCCCTCCAACCCCTACCCCCTGGCACCCTTCCTGATGCCGGTAAATCTTTCAAACTGCTTCCTTTGTGTTGGATCTCAGTGGGACCAATGGAGTGTGCCTGTCCTCACAGGTGGCAGGAATCACAGCCTTCCAGAATGCTCTAACTCTCCATAGTGTCCAGCCCTGCTAATCACCAAAGCCCGGTGCAATGTGGACTTGTGTTCCCGGAGCAGATCTCCAGGGCTAGGTGTGCAGAGTTCTTGCATGCTTATCCTCTCCCTGTTCCATTCTTCTTCTTCCCTCTTGGGGGGGTGTTGGGGGATGGGCTGGGCTACTGATTGATCATGGCTCTGCCACTTACCCTTCTCTGTGTTGTCTTCTCTTCTTCACCAGGTATAGATGGCCTGTTCTGCAGTCTTAAGGTTGTTTTCAGGGTTTTGGTATTTTCTGTAGTTGCTTCCTTGGCGTGTGTGTGGGAGGTTTCTGTCTTGCCTTCCTTCTTTGCCATCTTACACAAACCCCCTCTCAATTCTTCTTTAAATATTCGGTAGAATTCTCTCATGAAGCCCTCTGGTACTGTGGTTTTCTTTGTTGTAAAGTTTTTGATTATTGCTTCAATTTTCTTTCTCATTATTGGTCCATCCATATGTTCTCATTTTTTCATGATTCCATCTTGGCAGGTTATAAGTTTCTAGGAATTTATCCATTTCTTCTATGTTGTCTAGTTTGTTGGTGTGTACTTGTTCATAGTAGTTCATGTTAGTCTTTTATGATCCTTTGCATTTCTAGGGTATTAGTTGTAATGTCTCTATTTTCATTTATAATTTTACTTATTTACATCCTCTTTCTTTTTTTCTTGGTTAGTCTAGCTAAGGGTTTGTCTATGCTGTTTATCTTTTAAAGAAACAACTTTTAGTTTCACTAATTTTTTTCTAGTTTTTTCCTAGTTTCTATTTCATTTTTTTCTACTCTGGTCTCCACTATTTCCTTCCTTCTGGTAACTTTGGATTTAGGGTGTTCTTCTAGGTCATTGAGGCATAAAGTTTGGTTGTGTGAGTGCTTTCTCTTTTCTTAATGTAGGCATTTATTTCTATAAACTTTCCTCTTAGAACTGTATTTGCTGGATTCCATAAGTTTTAGTACGTTGTATCTTCACTTTCATTGGTCTCAAGACACTTTTTGATTTCCATTTTTATTTCTTTTTTGACCCGTTGGTTATTAAAGATTGTGTTGTTTAATTTCCACATACTTGTGAATTTCCCAATTTTCCTTCTGTTATTGATGTCTAGTTTCATACCACTCTGGTAGTAAAAGATACTTGACTTGATTTCAATCTTAAAATTGTTAAGACTTGTTTTGTTGTTCAACATACCATCTTCATTATGGCTGAATAATACCATTTTCCCTGGAAAATATTTCATGTGTATTCCAAAAAATGTAGAGTCTGATGTTGTTGGATGGAGTGTTCTGTATTATGTCTGTTAGGTCCATTTGATCTATAATGTTATTTAAGACTACTCTTCCCTTATTTATTTTCTGTCCGGATACTCTATCATTATTGAAAGTGGAATATCAACGTTCCCTACTATTATTATAATACTATGTATTTATGCCTTCAGTTCTGCTAATATTTACTATTGTTATGTCCTCTTGATGGACTGACTCCTTTATGTTTATGTAGTGACCGTCTTTGACTCTCATGACAGATTTTGATTGAAAACTATTTTACATGGTATTAGTATAGCCACCGTGCTCTCTTTTGGTTGTCATTTATCCAAAATATCCTTTACCATCCCTTCACTCTCAGCCTATGTGTTCCCTGAAAGATAAAGTGAGCCTCCTGTGGGAAGCATATTGTTGGACCTTGTCGTTTTTATCCATTCAACTACTCTGTATCTTTGGAGACTTTAATTCATTTACATTTAAAGTAATTATTTAAGTAATATTTTTTGTACATGATGTAATATATGGTCCTGTTTCATTCTTCTGTAGCTGGTTATTCACCTGTCTTAAACCAGTTGTTGAAAAGACTGTTCTTTCATCATTGAATTGTTCTGGCATTCTTGTTGGAAATCAATTGATCATACATGTATAGGTTTATTTCTGGATTCTTAATTCTATTCCATTGATCTACATATCTCTTCTTATGTCAGTACCACACATTCTTGATTACTACAAGCTTTTAGTAAGTTTTGGAATTGAAAAGTTCTTTCTCAAGATTGTTTTGACTGGGGGCTTTGCTCTCCATATGAATTTTAGGATCAGCTTGTTGATTTCTGCAAAAGAATTCTGGAATTTTGTGGGGACTGTGTTTACTCTGTAGATCAATGTGGGATGATCATTATTATACATCTATGGCATTTTTAACAATATTAAGTCTTATAATTCATGAACATGGGATGTCTTTCAATTTATATAGATCTTTAATTTTGCTTCAACAATGTTTTGTAATGTTCAGTGTAAAATCTTGTACTTCTTTGGTTTAGTCTACTTCTTATGTATTTTTTATGCTATGGTAAGTTGAATTACTGTCTTAATTTCATTATCAGATTGTTTACTGCTAGAGAATAGAAATGCAATTTATTTTTGTATATTGATCTTGTACATTGAAATCTTGCAAAAATATATTAATTAGCTATAACATGCTTTTTGGTGTGTGTGTGTGTTTGCATTATTTAGGATTTTCTTTACAAAACATCATTTTCAAACAGAGTTTGTTTTAATTCTTCCTTCCAGTCTAGATGCCTTTCATTTTTTTTTTTCTTGCCTGACTGTCCGGGCTAGAATTTCCTGTATAATGCTTAACAGAGGTGGGGAGAAGTTTTGTGACACTTTTAATTTACATAAATGTGAGTGTGAGATGTGTATGTGTTTATGTGCTATAAAAATATATTTCCTAGCTGTGGATCATGGCAAAATAAATTTGAAAACCACTGTCCTAGAGAAACTTTTGCACATGTGCACTAGGAATGCATAAGTATATTTATAATAGCCAAAACAAAACAAAGCAAAATAAACTAGAAAAAAATCCAAAAATCTAACAAATAACCAAGAACAAATAAATATATTGTGGTATATCTATAGAAGAGAATACCATTCACAATGAAAATGAAGTAACCACATGAATTCTATAAATGATTAAATAAAAAGGCAAGTTGCAGAGAAGTATATACAACATCATGCCATTTACATAAAGTTCATAATATGTAAGGCTAAAAATATATTAACTAAAAAATATATTAACTAAAATATATTAGCTAAAAATATATAACATAGGACTATGTACAGGAGAAAATAGAAGACAAATGCAAATGAATGAAAATACAAAATTCAGGATGATGATTACTTCTGGAGAGGTTTTGGAGGTAGAGGAATGGAAATTGGGAAGGACACACAGGAGGCTTCAAAGGTTGTTAGTAATGTTCCTTAAGGTGGGTGGCATATACACTGGAGTTCATTTTCTTGTTACTGCTATTTTTATTTTCACTTATGTTATTTTCTATATATTTTAAGTAAGCAATAAGGAACAACATAAAAACCTAAAGTTAAGTATAAGGTGAAGCCACCTCCCTATGTCTTCCCTAAATTGGTTGTCCCTACTAGGGATAAGCCAAGAATAAATCCACAGCAAGATTCCTGCACTGTGTACACTTCTGGACAGGTGCTGTAAGAGTTACGATTTGTCCACCTACCACGTCTATTCCACCATCCCACACAGATCACTCTCTCACCTCTCCCTGAGTCTCCAGCTCTTCTTGCTTTGAGGTAAAAATATTTGTGTGGGTCAATTAGTGTTTCATTCACTTCGCTAGAGATCTAATCCTTCCCAAATAATGAATACTTCTCTTGATTTTAAGTGCATTAATTTGGCATGCAATAGCCCCAGACCCCAGTTTCTAGCATGGATGAAAGTTTTTCCAATTTTTCTATTTTTTTTTTTTTTAGTCATTTCACAGATAGTTAAATACCTGAATTCAAGTCACTGCCTCTACTTGGAAATCCTATTCTATGTTTTCAATGGAAGGTAGCTTAACTCTCCTTAGACTATTGTTTAGAGATTGGTGTTAACAATTCAAGGACTGTTATCCCAAACTATGGTACTGCCAACTCACCCTTCATTACAAAAATAATTAACTGTTGATCCAAACTGGGTGTCTCTATTTATGTCCATTTTGCCATTTATGGGTTCTGGAGGAGATCCACATGATTTACCTATAGGAAAGAAGGAGAATTTTGGGATTGGGTGTAGAATACTCTGAACTTCTCTTAGTACATATGGACCCAAACTAGCTGTAGCCACTGAAGAGCATTTGTGGTTCCACAGATTTTCTACCTTGAAGAAATGCAAAAGACTCTCTCAGGATGTCGCCTACTAACCATCACTTTCAAAAACACCTCCCCTCCACCCTCTGTGTCATCTCCATATTGTGTCTCCCAGAAAAATGTAAACTTTATTTATTATGAAAATGTTTACTCTGTAATTCAACCAGTGAAAATTAAAAGTCTTGAAGTCTGGGGTTTCTTTTCCTTTCCTAACTCATTACTTAATTTCAGTTATGAAAATGAGAGACCCCTAGTAAGTAGAGATTTCCCCTCAATCGTGCCTTGCAATGATCATTTCTCATTCAATGAATCTGTAATGAAGGTACCAGTAACTCAAACTAATGGGAAGATGTGACTTACAAGAATAACTCTCACATCTACTATACCTTAGGCAAACTTATTGAGTCATTTGTATCTTAGTTCCGAAATTTGAACAACTGAATCAGATCTTATAGATGTTTGACTGACACAGAGGAGTTCTCAGTCAAGACTTACTTACGTATACAGTTCTTTTCACCATCTGTCCAGACTGCATTTTGTAGGCAGGTGATAGAGAACAATTTCCTGTGGTAACCAGGACGGCATTCATAGAGCAAAGATGCCCCAGTGGGAAACTCATACTCATCAATCCATTTTGAAGGCTTGGCAAATGAAAACTGTGGCGGGGCTCTGCATTGACCTGGAGACCAAGATCACAGTAACATCAAAGTTAATGGAGAAACTACTATTTCACTTCCTCTTTTTCCTCAATATGCTTCATAGATATGATCAAAGAAGAAAAAGGGCACATTAATAATGGTAAAAGGATTGCTTTCCTTAGTAGCAACCTCAGAAATGAGCTTTTTAAACCAGCATCCATCCACTTAAGAAAATCTCTGCTATTTTGAAGGCAATTAAGATACATATATATATAGAAAGAATGACTTTCACTGAAAGGCAAACTAATTCATACCTTCAAATTTTAGTCAATCAGGAAATCCTATGCTCAGGCTTCATTATCCAATGCTCACTTATCACTCTCTAGTGTAATAAGATGCACTCACTTATTTCATTCTCTATCTCCACTCACAGTGGTCCACCCGGGCCTAGAAGGACAATGAGTCTCTAATCTGGCTTTCAGTAACAGTCACCACTGTTGGAAGTCAATTATTTGCCACAACACAATTGGCCACCACAATTGCCAAGTCAATTATTTCAGCACAAGAAAATTTTCAGCGCATGCTTCATAAAAAAACTCAACAAGGAAGGCTCTACTGTACTTTCTGAAGCATATATTTTAAATGGCATATGTGATTAAATATTAGACTCAGCTACCTTGTCTTAAGGCCTTGTAAGTTTAAGATAATAAAATTACCATTTAGAGTCAAATGCTAGGTAATCACAAAGAAATATCTGATGGAAAATTATCATAATTTTACTTCAGTTTTGGAAATCTCTTGTTTTTTTTTTTTTTTAATTTCTTGTTCCTTCTTCCAATGCCTAATTAAATCAAATAATGGAGGGTAGATTGAGACCAATCAATAAATTGGTCAACCTTGTTTGTCTTCAAAGAACCAACTTTCATCTCTGTTGATTTGCTTTTATCTTTATTTTATTTTAGAGTTACTGAAATTTTCCTGAGTTTATTCACTGCTCTTCTAAAAATAAATTTCTTGAGATGATTACTTAGATTTTTAAAACCTTTAGCTTTTTGCAGTTCGTAAAATAAGCGTTCAGCCTCTCAATTTTATTCTAAGCATAGATTTAGCTGCATTCCACATTATTTTGATGACTTTCCTGTCTCAGAAATTTCTAAACTACTTCCCTCTACCTCATCCCATAATAATCTCTAAGCAAACCCTTTAGTTTCCTTTTATATAACTTATTACAAGTTGTGCTTTTTATATTTGTGTTCTTTAAAAAATATCTGTTTCTCTCAATAGATATTAGACATGCATAATCTGAAGGCTGGAGACCCCTTGATTTTTGTTCCTCTAAATTAATACCTAATCCAGGTGCTTAGCACTCATCTATAAGCACTCTATCTCTATGTGTATTTGTTGCAATGGATGAATGAATGACGAATTGCCTAGAACACTTAAAAAACTATCAAGAGTTTAGGCTCTATCCCCAAAAGCTCTGATTCAGTGAGTCTGATTTACAACCCAGGAATCTATGTTATTTAAAAGTTTCACAGGTGATTTTGATAGGTAACAGTACTTTAAGAACCACTGTGATAACAAGCAAAATCTCCCAAGTGAAAAAAACAATTCCTATGCTTTCAGATGCTCTGCCTTCACCTTTCTCTGGTCAGTATGTGGATGAAACCTAAGTCTGATCTTTCTCTCATCCATTGGTCCTGGACAAGGGAAGCAAGTCCAAGTGGACCTCCTGTTGCTGAAAGTTTTACTAGGAGAGGCTGAATGTCACAGCAAAGCTCACAAGGAGAAGATGGAGATCAAAAACAACATAGCAAAGGGAATGAACTATTCTTGGAATGGCATTTCTTCCTTTCAATGACCTAAAATTCTTACCTGAGTTCTAGGAATAATATAGTAGTGATAAAAATACAAATTTGGATTTTTTTGTCCAAATGAAAAAGAATTTATGAACCTTCACTAGGGAAAGATCAATCTAGTTTCCTTTTGCAACTTTTGTTACCAATGCCTTAAAGTATGGCTTATTCCTATGATAAATATATTAATATGAATTCTAAAAGCTGATGATCTAAGATAGTTTATAAAAAAAGCCTACATATAGCTTTAAAATGTATCATATACAATAATTGAAAAATATTTAAAGTATTCAATTTGATGATTTTTGAAGTATGTATGGGCCATGAAACCATGAATGATTATCATTCATGGTAATCAAGATAAACATTTCCATTGCTCTCCCTTCAGTAATCCAGCCGTCTCTCTGCTTCCTTCTCTAGGCAACCTCTGACCTGCTTCCTCTTATTATAGATTGATTTGACTTTCTAGAATTTCATCTAAAACAAATCACCCCACTTGTCCTTATTTTCTCTTTTTTGGTCCAGCTTTACACACATAATATTTTTTAGATTCATCCAGGTTGTTGCATATATAAAAATTATTTCTATTTTTGCTGAGCAATTTTCAGTTTTATAAATATATCTTAATTTAGTTTCTCCATTCAGCTGTTCAAGGACATCTGGATTGTTCCCAGCTGTTGGCTATTACAAATAAAGGTACTATGAAATTCATAAGTCCATGTGTGAACATATGCTTCCATTTTTCTTGAGTAAATACCTAGGAAGTAGATGCCAGCCATATGATATGGATTCATTAAACTTATTAAGAAATAGCCAAACTGTTTTCCAAAGTAGGCTTGTACCATTTTACCAGTGAGCAGTGTATGATAATTCCAGTTACTTCACCTTGTTTTCAACAATTGGTCTGGTCAGTTTAAAAAATTTTAACCATTCTGCTGTGTGTATATAATGTCATCTCATTGTAATTTTTGTCTTGGATGACACAGTCCACCTTCATATACTTCTGATTTGAACTTTTCATTCAAGGCAGGTTGATTTATTCTATAATTGTGCTATAAGCAGAATTTATTCATTATAACTTTCAAGTCTTTGTTCAAGCATGAGCTGTTAACCTGGAGTATACTCTGCTCTCCATTCTGCATAGTCTATCTTTGATGAAGGGACCTACAAATGTTTGGCTTAAGCACCACTGTCAGTTAAAGAAAAAAGCTCATGCACTTCCAAAAATTTTATATATTTTATATTTAAATATATTTATATATTTTATAGTACATATTAATGTTATATTATGTATTATCACTGGTATATTATATACATATAATATGCATTATATAAATTAGCTTATGTAATATACAGTATATTCATTTACTATGTTATATGTTATATATATGTATTGTATATATTATGTTATATATAAACTATATGTACAAACCAATAACTTAAAACTATATATTGTAATATATAGCTTAATAAAGCTGTTATATGTCATTATTGAATTATATTATATAATGTCATTATATATGTAATTATATAACAAAATATAACACAATGTTATGTTATATAATATAGCATAATTTATGTATATAAAACTGTTATTTAACAGAATATAACTTTATATTATAATATTTTAATATATAATACAGCTATGTTATATATCAAAATATTAAATATTCAACAAATATATATTTGTGAAGTATATTTATACTAATAGTATGTATATTATATAGAAATAGACATTTAAAGAACTATGGTTCAAATGAAATGAACATTTTAAATGCTTTTCTAATCATGTGATTTGATATGATTATTAAGATCTAAGGGGACAAAGTAGAGTCATGGTGAGTTTCTGTTAATAACAGTGGATGTAACACTACATTTCAACTACTCTTCAGTACTACCTAGATTTTTGGCTTTTGTCAACTTTTAGTCAGTTGTGATTAGAGCGATAGTATGTTTTCCTCTTAATTTCTCTGACAAGCAGCCTGTATATGTGTGTGAGCATGTGTGCGTGTGTGTGTGTGGAGTAGTTTGTCAGCTATGCCATTTTCTTACTTTCTTGAGTTGGCCTTATTAGAATTATCTTCACTTACTGCGGGAAAATTTTGAAGTTACTTGTTCAATCGTAAAGGTTATATTAGATAAAACTAGGCAACATAAACCATAAATCTTCTCATCTGAGCATTTGTAAATCTAAATAGGCTACAAATCACAGAAAGCCAAGCGGAAATCCCGGTTTCTACCTTGCACCTTTACACAGCAGGGTATCAAGTACCAGATGAGGGCACCACCGCCTGCCCTATATTAAACACTGTCCTAGGGATGCTTAATTAGTGTGCTAATTTTTATATAAAATAAATGTCCCTGTGAATCAACCTGTACAACTGTTTTTGGGATTCACTCCTCCTTAAATGCTGCTAAAGCCATGCTCCTTCCATTCAGCATTTTCTGCTCATTGGCACTGAATGTCTACCTTTTCAGTCATCCTGTGGCCTTTAGGCTCTTGCATGACTTCCTAGTCATGGTTTCGTAGATCTGCATGGGGATTTTTCAGGTTACGAAACACTGTCCTATACACTATCTCATCTGATTTTCACAGTAACCTCTCAGCTAGCAGATGGCAACTGCATTTATTTTATACATGTCGGGGATGTTAATGACCTGCTGGGTCCAAGTCCCCCAGCTACTAAGTAACAAAGGCTGGGAAAACCAGAACTCTGGTCTCTGAATTAAGGAGATTTCATAAAACTCCACACCCTACTTCTCTATGCATACACCTTGGAGATACGGCCCTCTATAATGCTTTTTTAAAACTCCTCAGGGCCCTGCACATTGTCAGCATTCCATCAGCATTTTCTTTATCTTACATTACTTTGGCAAGTAAATTACTAGATTGTTTAGTTTAGCATGTTTCACATTTTGAGATTATGATGATGACTTCAGTAAATATTTTGTTTTGCAGTTAATAGTGTCTGCATTTGTTATGAAACTATAACTTAATAAACACAGGCAAGCTGTAACAGCATTCCAGGAACAAGGGGGCCAGATACTCCCAAGGTCCACAAAAATTTCTAAGCATTGACAACAGGTTGCTTCATTTACCTGGCGTGCTTCTCTTCTGAAAATAAAACTTTAGGTTATATCACATTTCTTCACCTGACAGGTTACTTTATGGTGTCTAATCAGATCAAATATTAATACCTTTTGTGGGAGTTTGATTTTCCTTTTTCCTTACTCTCTTAGAAGAGAAGGTATAATCAAATTATGTATGCAAAGTGCCTGGTGGCAGCCAAATGCAAAGTCAGTTGTCTAGAAGAGGATGGACAAAAAATCATTTCGTCTGTCACTTCAACTGAGAAGATGCCAATGAGTCTAAGCAACTAAGACTTCCGAGGAGGCCAAAGAAAAAGAGTTCTAACAGAAGAAAGATGTTTACCTATTCGAAGTTAAAAGGAAAGAAGAGAAGATGTGGCCTCAAAATTTCCTCAGTAGTTATAACAGGCTTCATTTTGTAGTAAACACATGACTAAAATAGGACAATATGTAAGCCTCTCTACACTTCCTTTCTGCCTGCGACTAGTTAGTTTTGATACTACAGCACCGATCGTTCTGGAGCTTCTCTTAGTCTTCGAACCCCAGGTGTCTGGCATAGGCTCTTGTTTTAACGTGGGCGCTCAGAAAGTGCACATTAATGATGGTGGTGGTCCCGAGTACGAGTGGGGTGAACAGAGCCCAGTGCCGGGCAGTTTCAGGTGATACTTGACCCCCCAGGACTGCTGGATCAGACACCCTTGTGAACAAAGTGCAGAGGTAGTGGTTGGGGCATAGTAATTGATTATTGCCATTTACACAGCAACAACGTGAAGTAGAGAGAAAGGTCTTCCCGTTGGACAAATGAGGAAACAGACTCAGACAGGTGTAGTAACGTTCCTCACAGCTAGGAAAAGTTGCTAGAATCAGAACCCAAATTTGTTCAATTTCCAAGTCCCCTTTCTTTCGTTATGATCAGCGCCCCACCCCGCGAGAGCCAGTCTTTGTTAATATGCCAACGTAAGGAATTTTATGCAGCGCCTGTCCAGCGCGCGGAGCACCACATAAACTCTTGCAGAGGGACTCCCTCGACTCTTACCCAGAAGCAACCAGCGTCCGGGTACACAGAGGGCCCCCGGGCCCCCCGCCTTCTCGCGCGCCCAGCCCCCGAAGGCTCCCGCTGGGGACCGAGCGCCACCGCGTGCGTGCCGCCTGCGCCCCGGCCGCCTCGCCCGCTCCCCTGGCCCGTCCCGCGTCTTACCCCAGGCCGCCGGCGGCGCGAGCAGCACCAGCGCCGCCAGCAGGGCTCCTCCGGAGCCGGAGAGAGGGGGCACCTGCCCCCCGAGAGGCCCCGGGCTCCTCGAGGAAGACGCTGCCATCCTCCCCGAGCACTGCTCCTGACCAGATGCGATCTCGAAGGAAAGCGAAGGGGAAAGCGTCCAGGGGCGCAGAGAGACGCGCCAGGTTCCGCGCGCAGGGTCGGGGAGCGCGGCGGGGTTCCGGGACAAAAGGCTTTTAACCGCAGCTTCCCCTTAATGGGCGAGGTCTTGTTTACTCCCTCGTTTTCACGGTTTCTAATCAGTCTCGCTCCCAGAAAGCACCTTAGGACCCGTGTACGGGAGCAAAAACTCTCAATGCTTCAGCGGCTTGATGGATTTTACGTGCGGGACGGACCGGCAATTGCAGACGGGCCGGGGTTCTCGCTGCTCCTCTGCGCACCCCCCGCGTGGCTTTTCCCCTGGCCAAGAATCCGCGTGGGAAGGTCCGCGAATGACGTGCCTGCTCCTGCGCTGGAGCGACAACCGCACACAACACGTACGGTGTGCAGGAAATATGAGAACCAATTCCTTATGTTGAATTGAGATGTACCAAGACATTGAAAGATTTTTTTAAAGAGTGAGTTAACCCTATTTTATTTAAAAATGTAATTCTGTCTGTGGCGGGGACACTGGACTGGACTCGGGCAATAGTGAGCCGGGAAAACCAGCAAGAAACGTTTTGCCATCATCCAGGTGGGATTTGATGGTTGTCCCTTTGGAAGAAAGTGGACAATTAAGAAAGATATTGGAGACGGAATGAACAAAATAAGATCAGGATGTAAACATATGGATGTGGTTCGTATGTGATTTCTGGCTTTGAACATTTTTCCGTGTGTTACGGATTCCTTTGCCTGTGTGGTCAAGCCAACGGACCCTTTCTCAGAATTAATTTTTTAAAGCATAAAATAAACTACAAAGGAAATCAGTTACATTGAAATTCAGTTCTAGCCATGAACATTTTGAGGTCTGTGGCTTCTAAGATTGGAACCCTACATGTAAAGATGAGTTAAAACATGAATCCATTATTTCAATTTTTATTGGAATATAGTTGATACACAATATTATATTGATTTCAGATGACAACATTGTGATTTGATAATTATATACATTACTAAATGCTCGCCACAGTAAGGTGTAGTTTTATCCTGCTATTATGATCAAGATATTACAATATTATTGGTTATAGTCCTTCTGCTGTACTTCCATTCCTGTGACTAATTTATTTTATAATTTGAAGTATGTACCTTTTTAGCCCCTTCACCTGTTTCACCCATTCCCCTCCTCCTTCCTCTATGGTAACCAACTGGTCTATTGTCAGTATTTATGGGTCTGTTTCTTTTTTTTTAGATTCCACATAAAAGTGAAATTAAATGGTATTTGTCTTCGACTTATTTCACTTAGCATGATACTCTTTAGGTCCATCTAGGTTGTCACAAATGGCAAGACTTCATTCTTTTTAATAGCTAATAATATTCCATTGTGTGTATTTACCATATCTTGTTCAGCCATTCATCTATCGATGGACACTTGGGTTGCATCCGTATCTTGGCTATTGTAAATAATGTGGCAATAAACATAGGGGTGCATATATGTTTTTGAATTACTGATTGTTTTCTTGGAGTAAATTCCCAAAAGTGGAATTACTGGTTCCTATGGCATTTCTATTTTAAGTTTTTTGAGAAAACTCCATACTGCTTTCCATAATGGCTGCATCAGTTTACAATCCCACCAGCAATGTACAAGGATTCCCTTCTCTCCACATCCTTGCCAGTCTTGTTTTGTTGATGTTGGCCATTCTGACTAGTGTGAGGTGATACTTCATTATGGTTTAGATTTACGTTTCACTGATAATTAGTGATGTTGAGCATCTTTTTATGTGTCTGTTGGCCATCTGTATGTCTTCTTTAGAAAAATGTCTATTCAGGTTCTCTGCCCCTTTTTAAATTAGATTGTTTTTCTGTTGTTGAATTGTTTGAGTTTTTAAATATATTTTGGATATTAGCCCTTTATCAGATATATTATTTACAAATATATTCTCCCATACGGTAGTTTGCCTTTCATTTTTGTTAGTGGTTTCCTTTGTTGTGCAAAGCTTTTTAGTTTGATGTAGTCCACTTGTTCATTTTTGCATTTGTTTCCCTTGCCTGAGGAGATATCCCCCACAAAATTACTAATGTTGATGTTCAAGAATTTACTGCCTATGTTTTCTTCTAGGAGTTATATGGTTTCAGGTGTTACATTTAGGTCACTTTGAGTTTATTTCTGTATATGGTAGAAGTTAGTGATACAGTTCATTCTTTTGACATAACTGTCTAGTTTTCCCAACACCATCTATTGAAGCAACTGTCTTTTGCCCATTATACATTCTTGCGTCCTTTGTCATATATTAATTGACCATATCAGCTGGGGTTTATTTCCAGCATCTCTGTTCTGTCTCATTGGTCTATGTATCTGTTCCTGTGCCAGTACCATACTGTTTTGATTACTGTAGTTTTGTAGTACAGTTTGAAATCAGGGAGCGTGATACCTCCAGCTTTGTTCTTTCTCAAGATAACTTTGGCTATTTGGGGTCTTTTGTGGTTTCATGCATATTTTAGGGTTATTTGCTCTAGCTCTTTAAAAAGTGTCATTGGTGTTTTGGTAGGGATTGCATTGAATCTGTGGATTGCTTTGGGTAGAATGCCCATTTTAACAATATTAATAATAAGCATAGAATAGCTTTCCACTTATGTTCATCTTCTTCAGTTTCTTTCATCATTGTCTTATAGTTTTAGTGTACAAGCCTCACCTCTTTGGTAAAATTTATTGCTAGGTATTTCATTCTTTTTGATGCAATTGTAAATGGCATTGTTTTCTTATTTTCTGCTAGTTCATTACTTACATATAGAAATGCAATAGATTTCTATGTATTGATTTGCATACTGCAATTCTACGGAATTCATTTGTTAATTCTAATAGTTTTTTGGTGGAGTCTTTAGGGTTTGCTGTATATAGTATCACGTCACATGGAAATAGTGACAATTTTACTTCTCTACCAATTTGGTTGCCTTTTATTTCTTTTTCTTGTCTGATTGCTGTGGCTAGGACTTCTAGTATTATGTTGAATAGAAGTGGTGGGAGTGGGCATCATTGCCTGCTTCTGATCTGAGAGTAAATGCTTTCAGTTTTTCACCATGGAGTATGATGTTTGCTGTGGTTTTGTCATAAATGGCCTTTATTATATTTGAATATGTCCTCCCTGTACCCACTTTGTTAAGCATTTTTTCATGAATGAATATTGAATTTTGTCCATTGCTATTTCAACATTTATTGAGATGATCACATGGTTTTAATCCATCCTTTTGTTAATGCGTATCACACTGATTGATTCACAAATACTGAACCAAGTTTGCAATGTGAAATAAATACTACTTGGTCATGGCGAATAATCCTTTTAATGTTGAAATTCAGTTTGTTAACATTTTGTTGAGGATTTTTGCATTTATATTCATCAGGGATATTGGTTTGCAATTTTCTTTTTTCATAGTATCTGTCTTGGTTTGGTGTCAGGTTGATGCTGACCTCATAGAATAAATTTGGAAAATTTCCTTCCTCCTCAATTTTTTGGAATACTTTGAATGAAACAGGTATTAACTCTTCTTTAAATGTCTGGTAGAATTCACCTATGAACAATCTGGTTCCAATTGTTTTTGGTAGTTTTTTTATTACTGATTCAATTTTGTTATTCATAACTGTTCTGTTCAGACTCTATTTTTTCCTGTTTAAATCTTGGAAGGTTGTATGTTTCTAGCAATTTATCCATTTCTTCTAAGTTGCCCAATTTACTGGCATATATATTTTTTCATAGTAATCTTTAATCTCTTATAATCATTTGTATTTCCATGGTGTCAGCCGTAACTTCTCTTTCATTTCTGATTTTATTTATATGAGTCCTATCTCTTTTTTCTTAGTGAGTATAGCTAAAGGTTTAACAATTTTATTTATCTTTTCAAAGAACCAGTTCTTAGTTTCTTTGATCTTTTATATTTTTTAGGCTCATTTCATTTATTTATGCTCTGATCTTTACTATTTCCTTCCTTCTACCAACATTGGCCTTTGTTTGTTCTTTTTCTGGTGTCTTTAGGTGTAGGGTTTGATTGTTATTTGAGATGTTTCTTGCTTCTTAAGATAGGCCTGTATCACTATAACCTTCCCTCTTAGGACTGCTTTTACTGAATTCCAAAGATTTGAACCATTGTATTTCTGTTTTCAATATTCTCCACATACTTGTTGATTTCTCCTTTGATTTTTTTGATGACCTATTGGTTGTTTAGCAGCATTCTGTTTAGACTCCAAGATTCCATGTGTTTGTGGTTTTCCCATTTTTTTCCTTGTAATTAATTTCCAGTTTCATATCATTGTGGTCAGAAAAGATACTTGATATGATTTCAGTCTTCTTAAATTCACTGAGACTTGCTTTGTGGCCTAACATGTGGCCTATTCTGGAGAACGTTCCATGTGTACTCAAAAATAATGTGTATTCTGCTGTCTTGGGAGGTAATGGTCTGTATACATCTGTTAGGTGCATTTGGTCTATTCGTCATTGAAAACCACTGTTTCCTTGTAGATTTTCTATCTGGATGATCGATCTATTAACACAAGTGGGGTGTTGAAGTCCCCTATTATTTTTTATTGCTGTCATTTATCCTTTTATGCCTGTTAATGTTTGCTTTATATGGTTATGTGCTCTTCTGTTGGGTGTGTGGTTATTTATCATTGTTATACCTTCTTGCTGGATTAAGCCCTTAATCATCATATAATATTTCCTTCTTTGTCTCTTGTTACAGTCTTTGTTTTAAAGTCTACTTTGTCTAAATACTGATGCACCAGCTTTTTTCTATTCTTATTTGCATGGAATATCTTTCTTCATCCCTTCAGCTTCAGTCTATGTGTCCTTAGATCTGAAGTGAGCTCTTGTACATAGCAAAAAGATGGGTCTTATTATTTTTTTTATCCATTTACTCACTTTATGTCTTTTGATTGGAGCATTTAGTCCATTTGCATTTAAAGTAATTATTGATAGGTATGTACTTATTGCCATTTTGTTAAATGTTTCCTGGTTGTTGTTGTTCTTCTCTGGTCCTTTCTTCCTTGCTTGCTCTCTTCCCTTGTGCTTAATGGATTTTTTTTAGTGTTATGGTTGGAGTCCTTTCTCTTTATTTTTTGTGTATCTATTATAAGTTTTTGGCTCTTGGTTACCATGGGGTTCTTATATGACCGCCTATGAATATAACAATTCAAATTAAGTTGATGGTCACTCAAGTTTGAATGCATTCTAACAGCACTGTATTTATTATTGCTCCTCCTCCACATTATATATATATATATATTTATCTTCTTTTATACCTTTTTGTTTTATGATTTGCTTAACTAATTTTTAGATGTACATAATTGTAATACTTTTGTCTTTTTGATCTTCATACTAGCTTTTA